AGAGGCCAGGGACGGCTGCATGGCTCACGCCTGTCCCCTCTCTCCCTCGCTGCCTGGCTTTGGCGCAGGTGCCAGAGCTCTGTGGTTGGAGATGCACAGCGCCGCTTGTCAGCACATCCCAGCCCTTCCGCCTTTCTCACTCCTGCCCACACAGCAGGCTTGGCTGCCAGGCTTTGTGGCCCAGGGCAGGCTTCTGACCTCTCTGAGCTCTCAGATGGTGAATGAGGGTTCTTAACCGGGGGACTGTGGATGTCTCGGGGGCTCTCAGCTCCCCCACATCCCTGCAAATGCAGCCTGTGCATCTGGAAGGGGGAGGCAGCGTCCCGGGTCCCTCCAGCTGCCCACAGAGCCCACCGCCCCGTGCATGATGGAGACAAGAGGCCTCTGCACAGCCCACAGCAGGAGCCAGCTCTGGCCGCAGCTCCAGGTCTCTTCCTGGGGTGACTCGAAGCGGGGCATTTACTGTCCCCAGCCTGTACTCGTCACTATGCAGGGCAGTGAGCTGCATCTGGGCCTGGACAGGAGGCTGCAGGGTGGGCTCTGCCGCCCTCCAGTTGCGTGACTCAGGCAGAGTGGGGCTCACCTCCCTGCGCCCCAGCCCCGTCCTCCAGAGGAGGGATGATGACACCACTTCCGATTCCTTGTCGGGAGGAGAGTGAGCTGTCCAGCGTGTGCGGCTCCTGCTGGGCGTCCGGCTCGTGGTGAGAGCCCGACCAGCAGGGGCTGCCTGTGCAGTGGGCACTCGGCGTCCCTCCACGCAGCAGTCGTCACGGCAGCCTCTCGGCCCGGCCCCGCCCCATACACGCCGCTTGCAGGCATGGGTGGTGTTGAGCTGGGAGGCACCATGGGAATCTTTAGCCCCCTACTCCAGAGGGAGAAACCAAGGCAAAGGGGTTCCAGAGGGCCAAGCTACAGGGCCTGGGCCACTGAGTGCTTCCTTGTCCTCCCCCGGGTGCTCTTGCCCGCCTCTTGCCAGACAGACAGCGCCCAGGGAACTCGTGCCCAGGGAGCTGAAAGGGCCCCTGACGTGGCTTGAGGAACCCTAGGCCACTGTCCAAGAGCAGAGGCTGGGCTTATTATCACTGAGGACAAGAGACTCCGGCCACCAATAGCCCTACACAGGGCTGTCCCAGGGCCCATTTCACACCGTAGGGTGGCCCTGGCTTCTTCCTCAAAGAGCATGCATTTTCTTACTTCTGGACACCCCTTACTGAGCCCCCTACCTGCAATGCTGGTGCCCTCACCCTTCACATGGCTACCTCCTGCTCCTCCTCCAGGGGGCCCCTGGGGGACCACCTCCTCCTGGAAGCCCTCCTTGAATGCACCACCACAAGCACCCCTTCCCTGCCCTGTGCTTGGTGACCAGCCTCTGCTTCCCTCTCCAGGGACAGCAGCTGAGGGCAGGGAGGTGGGCCCTGTGGGGTGTGAGGAGGCCAAGGCCCAGCAGGGTGAGGACCCAGGCCTCTCAGCTGCACTATCGGGCACTGACCGCCCGCACTCTGCTGTGTGTGCTGGGCCCGGCCTGGGGCAGGTACATGGTAGAGATGCCCTTGCTTGTCCCCAAGTCAGAAAGGTGAGAGGACCTGCTCAGGCCACTCAGGTGATAAGGAAAGCAGATGTTCTCCTGAGCCTGGAACCACTTTCTAGGAGCCCTCCACCTGGCGGGTGGGGGAGCAGAGACCTAGAGGGTGGGGCTGCCTTGAAGGTGCCACTGTCCCCCAGGCAGGTCGGGAAGCTTCAGATCCTGCCCGAGGTCTTCCCAGGTGGCCCAGCTTGGCCAACCCCAAGGGGCCTGGCGGGCGGTGGAAAGGCACCCCCGCCTCTCCCAGGCCAGCAGCGCCACCTGGTGGTCTCAGGCCCCAGACGGCTCCGCGGATCAGCTGGAGGGGCTCGTCCAGGACACAGGCCAAGAACCCAGCCATCCTGTGCCCCCTGAGCTCTGCCCACCCCCCATGTCGTGCAGGCTCCAGGGAAATCCCAGAGAGGATAAGGCTGAGTCCAGGGGAATGAGCCAAATGGAAAGCTCTCAGTATTGTGATCATGGTGCATGTACGTGTCGTGGGGGCAGATGTCCTGTTGGGAGTGACACTTTATGCTGTCCAGCTTCGTGGCCTGGGCTACACCATACAGCCTAGGTGTGTAGCAGGCTGCACCATGTAGGTCTGTGTAAGTGTGCTCTCTGATGTTCAGCACAAAATCGCCTACTGACGTATTTCTTAGAACATATCCCTGTCGTAAGTGACCCACGTCTGTACGTATGTACGTACACGGACACACTCACATACACACCTACGCACAGGCATGTGTCCTCCAAAGTGCATGTGATTGACACTTGATGCCCACTGTGGCGATGTTGGGAGGCGTTTGGGTCATGGGCACTGCCTTGTGAGTGAATCAATGCTGTCGTCCAGGAACGGGTTCACTATCATGGGAGTGAGGTCCTTATAAAAGGACAAGTTTGGTCCTCTCCGTCTGTCTTTCTCTTGCTTTTCTTCCACATGATGCTTTCTGCCGTGTTCTGATAGCAGCATAAAGTGAACTAACACACACACATACACAGAGACTCACGGACGCACGTGCATACATGAATAGATAAGCACACATACACAAGACACACACGCATGCACGCACAACACATTCAGACACACACACACACATTCACTCGTATTTAATTCTCACAACCTCTCCTTGAGGTAGGGCGTGTCCATTATCGCCCTTGACAGAGAGGAAGCTGAGGCTCAGGGAAGACATGCAACTCGCTCCAGGCTGGAGGAGCTGGTGTAAGGGCCTGGGCTGTGTTCTGGGGCATTTGTCCTGGGCTGGGCTGGGGCAGCCTCTCTGTGACCTCCCAAGTTAGGGTCCCAGAACCTTCCCCAAGACCCTCCCCCAGTGGATTTGTTCTGGAGAAGACGAGTCAGGTGGGAAATTCAGATTCCCGTCCCTGTGGACCACAGCTTGACTGCCAACGTCCCCCCACCAGGTCACTAGGAGGGGACACCCATGGGGGGTGGGGAGACCTCACTGGCCCCAGGTCCCAAGGCCTCTGGTACAGTCTGGCCCCCTGTGGTGCTCAGCAGGTCAGAGGCCCTTGGCCTCCAGGCCGGCCCCTGGGTGTGAGGGTCTGCTGGGTCCTGGGCCCCTGCCTCCACCAGCAGTTCCTCTGCTGAGATAAGAGGCAGAAGAGTTTGCAAGATGTGAGATGAGCCATCTTTGCAACAGGGACGTGCACATCGCCTTTGGGGGGGGTGTGTCTAATGGGCAATAGGGCAGGTGCAGCAAGGTGGTGACCCTGACCTCTCCCAGCCCCCTTGGAGCCCTACCAGGTCAGCGCCTGTTCCACCTGGACCCCAGGAGCAGGGGCAGAGGAGGGGAGAGGCCTGAAAGGTGGACAGTCCAGGCTGGTGCCAGGCACAGATTGGCAGGGTGGTGGGCGTGGGCTAAGAGGGCAACTCCACAGGGAGGGTGCCAGGGCCCAGAGCACAGGCAGGGCAGGCACTGCCCAGAGGAGGGGGAGGCAGGGAGGCTCCTGGGGACAGGTGGCCCTGTGGAAATGGGGGCAGGGGCTATCTGGGGGAGGTGGCAGGGCGTAGGCCTGGGCAGGTGTGGGGGTTGCAGGGGGGGAGCCACTTCTCCAGGCAGCCCCCTCCGGTTGGTGCTTCCCTCCCTTCCGCTGCTTCCTCCCCTCCCCTCTCTCCTGCAGCTGCCCAGCCCTCACGGCCAGGCCATCCTCGCCCACATCCAGCTTTCTGTGGCTGCACTCCTGAGGGCAGGAGGTGGGGGGTGGCCTTGACCCTGGAGTCAGGCAGGTCTGGGTGGGGATTCCAGCTCCCTTCTCCAGATGGCACTGCAGAGCCTTGGACTGGACCCATCATGTTTCTGAGCCTCGGTTTTCTCCTCTGTGAATTGGGAGCGCAGACCCCTCAGATGGGGGCCGGCCGCCAGGGGGTGGGCAGGTGTGAGCGGTGGTCCCATGGGCTTCACTCCATTTGTGGGTCACCTCCCAGGAGGTGAGGGCCCGGGGCATGCAGAGAGCCCTGCAAAGGGAGGAGGACGTTGTGGGACACAGGGGCAGTCAGCTCAGGGTGTCCCGCCCCTGCCTTGGGCCTCAGGCCTCCAGGAAACTGGGGCCGGTGCCCAGGCAACATTTCCTGCTATTAATGGCGCTTAATCTAAACAGGCCCTAATATTTACCTCCAGACACCTCCGGCCTCAGAGGGTGCCAGACAGGGAGAGTGATGAGCCTCCGTCCACCCAGCCAACCCCCTCCCCAGCCCGGTGCTTCCCTGGGCGGAGCCAGGGACTTGGCTGTGTGCGAGGCAAGAACTGGGCACCTGGGGGTCCTGGGTGGACCCCTCCCTAGCTAACCCCTGAGCCTCGGTTTCCCCATGTACGAAAAGGGGGTGATAATCCCAGCCTGCCAGGTTCAGGGAACCGGACAGTCCGGCCAGCACTTTGCAGGCCCACAGGTAGCGCTGCTGCCGTCTCTCCCCGGGGGTCGGGCATGGGCAGATCTTCTCCGTCCCCTCCAGGTCACGCCTCTGGTGATACGATGGGGTGCCGAGGCGCAGGGCATGCGGCTGCCCTGCCCACCTCCACGTCCTCTCCCTGGGTGGGCAGAGTGGGGACCAGGGACCGGCAGGCATTGCTGGCTGGTGTGCGCCCCACCCGGCTATGTGCCCACACCCTGCCTGACAGTCTGCGGTCTGCGCCCCTCTGTCCCCTGCCCATCAGAGTTGGGCTCTCAGCAGGGCCGCGAGACCACGAACCCACTGCGGCGCCCTCCTGTAGTGCCCTGCCTGTCCACGGGACATGGAGAGGAGGGGGATGTGCCCCCCCCCCGGCCCAGCCACCAGCCCAGGAGCCACGTCGTGGGCAAGAAGGGAGCAAACAGCTTTAATTCAGGACGGGGACTCCTCGCCCAGCAGATTGTTTACGTCAGATATAAACACACACACCATTTCATGTCACTTGGGCTTTTCGAGAATCTGGGAAGGGAGAACATGGGGAGGGGGACGCACAGACCTCACACCCACCTGACCTGCAAAGCTCCCGGGCTGCCGGACCCACTGAGGAAGGGATGTGGGGGCCACGGTAAGGAGCAGGGGGCGAGCATCTGGGGGCTGTGGGGCCCAGTAAGGGCCCGGGGCAGACCCTGACCCTCCAGCTACAAGGCAGAGGAGAGGAGAAAGAGGAGTGGGCTGTGGGGAAACTGAGGCCTGCTGACTGAGGGTTCTGCACAGGGGCCTGCCAGGCTTTGGGCTCCCAGAGGACAGGCGGCCCATCCAGTCAAGCGGGACGGTGATTGAAGGCTCCCATTTAGGCCCTGGACGTCCTTCCCGGCCAAGGCTCTTGCAGTCTGAGAAGCCTTTGAAGCCCCAAGGAACCCAGGCTGAATGGTGAGGTTTCAGAATTACGGCCAACGAGGGGGGACCTGGCTCCCCACTTTGAAGATACCTCCTCCTGGAGGAAGGGATTATTCCAGAAAGATTGCAACCCCTGCACCCCCAAGCATAGCAGTCAGCTGGTGTCAGCCATTCCCTCTTTAGTGTGAATTAGAGTGATGACCAGAAATGGGACCAGGTTGGGGGAGGTCTGATGGGAGCAGAAGGCCGGTGGGGCACAGGACATTGGCAGAGAAGGAGATGTAGTGCAGAAGAAGAAGGGAGGCCATGGAGCTGCATGTGACACCCAGTGGGACTGAGAGGCCAGGCTGTCCCCCTGTCCAAGCAGCCCTTCGCAGTGCCCTCTGCCTCCTCACAGCATGGCCCAGAGAGGTAGTCCTCACAGTGCAGGGAATTGAGGTCAGAGGGTGAGTGTCATGCCCCAGGTCACATGGAGAGCAGGGTTGGGTGGGGCAAGGGGGAGCTGGTGGGTGGTCCCTGGGGCTTTGAGGGTCTCCCTGATGGAGCAAGAGAACCCAGAGCCCCTGAACAAACGGAGGCCAAGGTCCCTGACCAAGGTGACTTGTGAGTGTGGGTTGGAGAGGACAATACTGGCCTCGGATCACCAGGTACTCACTCCGTGACTCTGAAGGTCCTTTCTCCCTCAGTTTCCTTGTCTGTAAAATGGGGATACAAATAGCCTTTCTACCTTCTACCCAGTCCTCTCTCCAGGACCCTGAACTTGGGGACAGGATACTCTGTCTAGAGCTGAGCTGCAGAGCCCTGGCCCTTGCCTGCACCAGACCCTGCCCTGCTTCGCTCCGGCCATACAGGCCACCATCACCCTGAGCACGTGGGACCTGGGCCCAGCGTCTGTCTCACCTGCTTCAGTGGTTGTGGCCAAGTGTGAGGGTAGGGTCTGGTGGCTGGAGTTGCCAGGGATGTCTAGAGCGCCTCTCCCCTGCCACAGGCTCCCCTCCTTTGTACATTGGTCTGGAAAGGACTCATGGGAGCTTAGACACTTGACAGAAGGCACATGGGAGGCAATCCTGGAGTCTGGCTTGGAGGAAGTGTTCCAAGCCAGAGAAAGTCTCCCTCCCCAGCAAAGGCATGGGAGACAGGAAGGGCCAGGCCAGAGCAGTTGGAGCCCTCCCTGCCCCCCGGAGGGGAGATCAAAGGGCTCTTTGTATAGGGAGATGGTGGCATCAGGTTGGCAGGCTTGGGCTCAAGTTGCTATGTGACTTTGTTCTTGGGGCATGAGCTCTGCTGTTGTCCTAGGACAGCAGACAGGATAGGATCTTCTGAGGCCATTTCTGGAGTTGGCTTGGGAAGGTCTGAGCAGTACTCACGGAAGGAGCTGCAGGGGCGTCGGAGGGCGGGCTGGGCTTTGATTCTGACCCTGCCATTGCCCGGCTATGGCACCTGTGCAGGTCACTTAACCCTCCAGCACCAAGACGAGGATGAAAAACAGCCCTTCCTGTGCGTGCTTGTTTCGGTTCAAGTGTCAACCCAGATATAAAGCACTGGGTCACAGCACAGTGCAGTGGGTGCCTGCCGTCTTACCCTGCAATTCTCAGGTGGGCGGGTCTTGCAGGGACAAGTGCCCTTCCCTTCCATTCATGCAACATTTACATCCCCTAATATTGTCTCTCTGTCCTTGTTCTTTTACCCGTGTGTGTGTGTGGTGGGGTAGAGTGGCTCTTCAGGGTTTTTTTTTTTTAACCCTCTTGAGAATCTCTAGTGCTTAAACAATCTGTGTCCCTTTTTCTGAGGAACTCGTCCCGGGGACATAAGGACCCCGGTAGGGAGCAGCTCCTGGCAACCCCTCTGAGTTTTCAGTGGGCACAGTATAGCCCAGGGATAGCAAACTACTGGCATTCAGGCCACCACAGCCGTGGCAGACATCGTTCATCAGCCTCAGTGCAGCGGCCTTAGAATCCCATGCAGTGCCCTGGGCAGCCACCGCCCGTCCGTCAGGATGAAACCCATTTGCCGCCCTGGCACGGCAGGCGTCTGGGCTGGCAGGCTGGGCAGAGCCGCACCTTTGGCCCCCTGCAGTGCTCCCTAAGCCTCGGGCCCATTGGCCAGAGCCTGGGTGAGGGCGTGAGGGCCGGCGCTGAGGATGTGATGGTGGCCAGAGCCCTTGGAGCTCTTGTTCATGCCGACCACGTTGCTGCTGGGCGTGTACTCTGCTCCACGCCGGCGGAAGAGGCCACGGACGGTGGCCTGGAAGCCACTGGTGACGAAGCAGTAGACAATGGGGTCCATGCAGCTGTTGAGGCTGCTGAGGGTCACGGCCACATGGTAGGCCACGAGGCTTGCATGGCGTGGCACGTCAGGCCACAGGGCCACAGCCACCTGGCGGGCGTGGAAGGGTGTGAAGCAGACAAAGAAGATGACGAGCACCGTGAGCAGCAGCTGCATGGCCCGCACGCGGCGCTGGCGGCCCTGGCGCAGCAGGCCTGGCCGTGACAGCGCACACATGATGCGGCCCGTGAACACGCTGATGACCAGCAGCGGTAACAGGAACTCCAGGACGGTCAGCGCGAACATGCGGCAGCAGGGCCGGCTGCTGGCTGTCACGCCCAGCACGGACAGGGTCACGGCGCCCGCAGCCAGCCACACGAAGGCACACACGGCCCTGGCACAGGCAGGCTGGCGCCAGCGGCGGGAGCCCTCAGGCTTCACGATGGCCAGGTAGCGGTCCACGCAGATGCAGGTGAGGAAGAGGATGGAGCAGTGCATGTTGAGGAAGTAGCCGAGGACGTGCGGGAAGGCACAGTGCAGGCAGCCACGCGTGCTGTAGAAGACCGCGAAGCGCGTGGGCAGGGACAGGCCCACCAGCAGGTCGGTCACCACCAGGTTGATCGTGTAGATGACCGACGGCGTCCTGGCCCCGGTGCGGCAGCAAAACACGTACAGCGCCAACCCGTTGAGCACCAGGCCCGCCAGGAAGATGGCGCCATGTACTGCCATCAGCGCCAGCCACAGGCCCGGGAAGGCTGCGTGCAGCTCCTCGTCCAGCAGCGCAAACAGGTGGAACAGGGGCACCTCGGGCAGGCTGACGTTGGTCCACGCCGCCACTGCCGCCGTGGCATTGGGGGCTGCCAAGACGGAGGGCTCTGCTGGAGAGGCGGAGGGCATGACGGAGCCAGTGCAGCCCGGCCTGGAAACAAGGAGACAGTGTCACCGAGGCACGGGCTTTTGGAGTCAGACATGGGTTCAAATTTCAGCCCCGGCACTTGTAGAGTGGAGCTTTGGCAAAATACTAAGGTTTCTGAGGCCGCCCTTGCAGCAAGAAGGAGGTAAAAACACTTGCCATGTAAGACTGTCCTCAGGATCCAGACAGAAGACAAAGGAAAGATAACGGGGGTGGAGGAGCAAGGTTCTGATTCTGGCTCCTCCACTTGCTGTGCATCGTCAGGCAAGTCACATAACCTCTCTGTGCCTTGCTCCCTAACCTATACCATTGGGATCACATTGCTGCTGGGAGGATTAATTGAGCCAATCTGGGTAAGGACACAGCAGCACCCAACACATAGTTAGTTGGTGGCTGACAAACCAGTTCTGCTGAGACAGAGCCCGCCCATTGTGGGAACCTCTGGGCAGCCCCCCAGCTCCTTACCCTCACGGCCCTCCCACCATGACCCCATCCCCAGGTCCCCTGTTCTCCTCTCCTTCCAGGCCAGCATCAAGTCAATGCCCAGGACAAGGGTCCTCATGAGGGACATTTCCCAAGGGGCTGAATGGGGCTGAGAACCATTCCCCCTGGGCACCCCAGCCCCCTGCAGCCCTGAGAGGCGAGTGACCTTACTATACCCCCCACCTACAGAGAAGGAGACAGACCCATGCGGGTGGCTTTCTGGGGCCGGAGCCTGGAGCCAGGTCCCGACAGCAGACAGGCGGGTGTGAGTCAAATAAACACTGTGCTCCTCGTCCTGGCCTGGCGCTGGGGGCGGGCAGGGGGGCTGAGCTGGGGCCGCCCACTCTGTTTATGTTTCTGCCCATGCGTGTTTAACTCAGCAGTGATTTATCCCTTTATTTATAAACTAAGGGTTAACAGGACCCCACCTCCACCCCAGAGCTGGCTGACCCTCCAAATAAGGACATTTCTAGCTTTTTCAGGAGAAAGGAGAAGCCTCTGGAGAGAGGTGGTGGGTGGAGAGGGGTGGGCACATGGGACATTCTGGGTGGCAGTGCCTCCCCCACCTGCAGGGGCAGGAGAGACCCTTCCCTATTTCTGGCGTCCCTCCTGGTGGCTGTCTGCTGTAAACAGGCTGGACACTGCCCACTCCCACTGACCAGTGGCGTGGCCTTGGGCAGCAGGCTTTCTCTGCTGTCGCGCCCCTATAGAACAGAGGCACTGAGTCCTGCCTCCCAGGGGACCTGGGGACCAAACGCCTGGCCCAGCTGGGGTGGGCACAGCACAGGAACTCTTGCCCTTGGAAGGTCAAGTCCTCGGTCTCAGAGGTCAGCAGCCGCCTGAGGCTGCCCAGCCTTCCCTCTGCCTCTGGGACCCCCGCCCTGGGGTCTGCCACCCTGGGCCAGGTCTGTGCCCAGCGCCCCCTGCTGTCCCCACTCCATGCGGGCCCAGGCCTGGCTCACAGGGTCCTCCAGACCGGCTGTCTCCCCAGCCAGCAGGCATGGAGGGCTTGCTCAGTCCTCCCCCAGCCCAGTGGGCTCCGAGAGACGGGTGTTTGGGGCAGGAAAAGACGTCCTGCGGGCATGGGGTGGGCAGCAAGGGGAGGGAGTGTGGGGGCTGGGCACCCGGTGTCCCAGGGTTGTGGGCCTCGTACTGGGCAGAGGGAGGCCCAGAAGACCCCCAGAGAGGAGGGGAGCCATCCATCAGGCTCTTCCTCTGCCAGGACAAGGCGCTGGGCAGAAAGATCTGGGAGGATCCAGAGCTGGTCTGAGAAGTTATTTTGTTGGATTCCCTTCTGCTTGCCTTTGGCTTTCCAATTTATCTGCATTAGCTCTGTACTAGTGTCACAGTCAGAGACAAGTGATAAACATGACAGGACATTTCCTCTGGGAGACAGTCCTGGGACCCTGCCCTCCCAGGAAACTCCCCAGCACCAGCCTGGCATGCTCACCGCTACGCGGGAGGTGCGGGGTCCGGGCAGGGCTCTGGGGCTCCGGGGACTCCAGAGCTGGGGGATGGGTGGGACATGCAGGACACTCCAGAGCCCAGACAGGTGAGGCGAGAGGGAGACATCGGCACATGCTGACTCTCAGTTCTCTGGTCCCAAACAGAGCTAAGCCCTGATCGTGGTCACGCACTGAGCCTCAACCCCAGTACCAGGATAAACCTCGATCCCTGCCACCCTCTGAGCCCTGGCCCAGGACATGCACTGAGCCCAACCCTGGTTACACACTGAGCCCTGATCCTGGTCCGGACCCCTCACCTGGGCCCTCACCCAGGACTTTTTCCACCTACCATCCCTCCCCTCTGTCCTGTCTTTGTCGCTCTGATGTAGGACCCCTCCACCCTGCCCAGCCACTCATGCCCCCTAGCACACCTGTCCTGCACTTCTGCCTCACCTCTCACCACAGCTACCATGTTTCCCCGAAAATAAGACCTACCCATAAAATAAGCCCTAGCAGGATTTCTAAGCATTTGCACAATATGAGCCCTACCCTGAAAGTAAGACCTAGTGATGGGCGTGGCTACGCAGCGTATCTGCACAACCCATGCATTTCCTCGCAGAGCGGTAAAGAAGACCAGCAGCCCTTCTCATCTGCCCCGTCGTGACAGCTACTATCCCAGAGGTGACCGGAAAGGTGTGGGCAGCCCCACCAACAAGGTCGGCTCCCCCTGTCAGGTCCTGGCCATCCTGTGCGTGCTGCAAGCTGAGGCTTTGAGGGGAAGATAACACATCCCCTGAAAATAAGCCCTAGGGTGTCTTCTTGAGGAAAAATAAATATAAGACCCTGTCTTATTTTCGGGGAAACACGATAATGTCCTGATTCCATTATTAAATGACTGCTTCCTGGGGCCTGTGCTCACGTCCTTTTTGTTCTGAAGGGCGAGGAACTCAAATGCTAGGTCTCCGGACCCTGAACTTGGCTGTGGCGGTAGGGCCTCTGGCGTGTGCTTGGAGAGGGAGAAAGTTCTGTCTTCCTGGGGACAGCCTGGCCCTCGGGAGGCCCCGGGCAAGAGCAAGCAGTCATGGGAACTCGGGTTTTAGTCCGGCTCCGCGACCCCTGCACCTGAGGCCTTGGCCAGGTCAGTGGGCCTTGCCGTCCTCATCAGTTACAGGGCATAATGGCACCTTCCACGCTGGGCGGGGAGGCCTAGCCCTGTCAGTGTCCCCAGGCTGGGCCTGCGTCTGGAGGAGATAGAACTGTCCTCTTCCATTCCCGGCAGGTGCCCTGGGCCTGCCTGACGCAGAGCTGACTTCAGTGCCGGGCCCGCCAGCCAGAGCCCAGCAGGCAGGGGCTAGTGCCATGTCCTTGCAGTGCCCGGTGTGGGGCTGGGCCCCCCGGACCAGAAACTGCGCCAGGGCCAGAGGCTTCTCATTCTCCACCAGCCCACACTGAGGCACCTCCTCAGGGACGGGACGGAGGGGACTCCAGAGTTGGCGAGGGGAGACACAGTGGGGTGGGGGTGGAGCGTGGCCGTCAAGAGCCCCAGCTCTGCCTGGACAGCCATGACCGCCTGGCTTGTCTCCAAACAGGCTGTGGCCTCAAAGTCTCGAGTCTCCACTTCCTCAGCTGTGAAGGGGGCCAAATACAATGGCCCCTGGGGGTTGCCGTGCCACGCACAGCACATGGCAGGTGCTCAGACATGGGGCAGGGCGGGAATGGGGGGGGGATGGCGGGACACTCTCCAGGCCTTGGCAACAGAGAGGACCAGGGGCCAAGTCCTGCCCCAACTTTTGAGCACAGAGCCTGGAACAGCCCACCTGGAGGGAGGCTCCCGGTGCAACTCACGGCCCCAGCCATGTAGCCACTGGGCTCTGATCTTGGGGGGCCTCCCCCAGCCTCAGTCTCTCCTCCTGTGCAGTGGGAATGGCAGGGCTGCTGCGGGTCTTGGTGGAGACAAAGCACTTGGTGCCTGTAGGCAGGGCAGGTGCCTCTCTCTGCTGCATCCCTTTTTTTTTCTGTTTCGGCCCCGACCCCTCCGCATGGGCAGACCCAGAGCCCCGCGAGGCAGGGGGCTTAGGCGGCCTCATGGAGACACTCTAGGGGAGCCCACAGAGGGTCAAGGGGAAGCCCCCACCCCCGGGGGTCAGATGGCCTTCTGAGATGGGGCTGCTGGGAGGAGTCCTGGGACTGCCTGATGCTTCAGCAGAGGAAGCCACGAGATGGCCCCAGCTCTCGTCACATGCTCGGCCCCCACGTCTTTGCCCAAGCTGATTCATGCCCATTTGTAGGACTTCGTCCAGGGCTCACCTCCTCCAGGAAGCCTTCTCTTTCCTCCCTGGGCTGGCTTGACGCTTCTCCCTGCTGCCCCCTCCCAGGGCGCCCTGCATGTCCCCCACCCCAGGCCTCGTCCCACTGCACTGCTGTGTGCCACACCCTCCCCGTCAGACTGCGGGCGTGCTGCGGGCGTGCTGCGGCCGGCTGGTGGGAGCAGCAGAGCCGTCTGTTCCCCCGCACCCCGGGCCTGCGGCACGCGGGGCATCCGTCCTTCTCTGGCTGAACGGGCTCCCTGAGCGGCCTGGCAGGGCTGGCGGAGCGTGGCGTGGTTTCCCACGTTAGCCCTTGCCCACCCCACCCCTCGTCCTGGCACTGGCCTGGACTTGGCTTCTACCCCCAGCTCCACCGTCAGGATCCACTAGTCCTCCCAGCTGAGCAGGGCTTCCTACTCCAGGAAGCCCCCCACCAATCACTCCGACTATTGGGTCCACACTTGTGCTTCCCCCACCCCCACCTGCCCCATGCCCCCCTTGGGTGGCAACAGTCTTTGGTTCCAGCCAGCTCTATCACCTGCCACCTGTGAGGCCCTGGGCAGGTCGTCCCACCACTCAGAGCCTCAGTGCCCTCACCTGTGACTCCGGTAACCACGTGTGTTGAGTGAATGCATGTGATCAGGCAGCGTGGTCGAAAGTGTTGGTGGACTATGTGAGACGCCCCCCACACGGGAGGCATGTAGTCACAGTAAGGGCACTCACGCTCCTGCTTTCCACACCTGCACGGGCCACGCCCGGACCGGCCTGCCAGTAGGTGGGAAGAGGAGAGGTCTGGGCCATCTAGGGCACTCAGTGCAGGACTTCTCAGAGCCTTTGTGCAGCTCATGACCCTGGGAATTTCCCTGGGGGAGGGGAATGAGCACCTTTCCCCCATGTCACGTGACCCTGTCCCCTCTCCTGGGATTCGTGCTCTGCCCAGCCAGTGGCCACACCAATACTCCATGCCCAGAGCACAGGTGGGCCGCTGCCCCACTGCCCCACTCACAGCTCTCTGGGTCCCTGCCCTGGGCCTGGCAACGGGAGGCTTGGGATGCTGGCACTTGCCAAGGACCCCAAGTGGGGACTGGGGGCCGTGCCAGCCCCCTCCTAGGCAGGCAGGTGGGGAAGGGTGTGTCCCGCACTTTCCTTGGGCTTCTCTCAAGTCCACCCCTCCGTCCCTGAGAGTCCTCTAGGCTGCCCAGAGACCCTGCAGACGCCTCTCCCAAAGCCTCGCTGCCTCAGCACTGCCACACGTGAGACCAGGCGGCAAAGCGGCCTGGGCAACAGGCGCTGTCGAGCCTGCCTGGGAGTCTGGCCAGGACCCCCATGCTGTCCAGGGGAGCAGGCGTGGAGCATGGGCCCAGCCCTCTCCCCACCAAGGGGCTCTGAGCACGTGCTGGGGCCCAGCCGCCGCAGGGCACTTTGCATGGCAATGCCGGCTTTTACGGATGAGGAGCTGGAGGCCCAGAGAGGGAGTGACGTGTCCAAGGCCACACAGCATGGAATGGGTGCAGTCGGGAATACACCCGCTCCAGCGGGACAAGGCGCAGGCTGGGGCGGGACCGGCATGGGGCGGGGAGCAGCGGATCTGGACGTGGCATCTCTGGACTGGGAGTTTGTGCACAGCGGGCCCTCAGGGTGCTGAGGCCATGTGTGTGTCCACGGGCCTGGGTGTGCTCCAGCCTGCGCCCCAGACCCCGCGATCCTCACGGCCTTCCAAGGCCAAAATAGCCATTATTGGGGGAACTATCGGCCTGTTTATTTTTACGATTATTCTTGGTTTCATGGCATCTGCTTTAGAATGCTGCCTGCTGTCTTTGGCTGGTCTGAGCTTCTGCTCCTTCTACCTAGGGGCCACTGTGCCCTTTCTGAGTCCTCCAAATGGGGTCAGACTTGTCTCAGGTCACCCCTCAGGTCTCAGGTGGCACTGACTGGAAACTAAGTCCCCCTGACCCCTGCCGGCAGGGCTTCCTCCACCCCAGCTCAGGGAGAGGGGTCACCCATGGGCAGGGGCTGGGCAGGGCACCTAGGCTCCAACTTGCCTGACTCCGGCTTGAATTCCACTATCTGGGAGCCCCTTTTGCCGAGACCTTGGCGCTGATGGAAGTGCCAGGCGTCTCTGGACGGGGCAGCCCCACAGGCACTGGCTGCACCTGGAGGTCCTGCACGTCCCCAGCCAGCTCCCTGCCTCCCTGTCAGCGTGGCTCCTTGCTCCAACCATCTAGCCTGGACGGCTGTGGCTGTGGCAGCGGCTGACACTGCTCCCCCAGCCCAGCCTCTCTCAGGGCCGCCAGGCCAGGCAGCCCACGCGTGCTCCTGCCCGGCCGCTGCCTCGTCCTTCTGCCTGAACATCCTTAGCCTGGCCCTCTCGGCCTTTGCACATGCCATTCCCTCTGCCCGGCACACTGCTCTCTCTGCCCGTGTCACCTGGTGAAGGCTCCTGGCACCCACAGTCACTACCTCACTGTCTCCCACACAGCCCCCCAGAGCCCTCTGAAGCCTCCCTGGTGGGGAGAGCTGTGATCCCACAGTTCACCTGCTGAGACGGATCTTCCCAGGGTTTCATTGCCTCCTCCCAAGATGCCCCAAAGTGGGTGCAGCTGGCCCCATTTTGCCTGCGAGGAAAGTGAGGTGCAGAGGGGTGGCACTGCGTGTCCAGGGTGGAGGAGCTGGGTTTGAGCTCTAGCCTGTCCTGTCTGCTGCTCTCTCTGTCCCCCAGTCCTGGGCTCAGCTGGGGCTGGGGGCACAGCGGGCTCTCCCGGCCTGTGCCCTGCCGCTGTCGGTTCCTGACGGCCCTGCTGTGCAGAGAGGGAAGCAGAGGCCTGGGGCTGGACAGCTTGCCCCGGGCCACACTGCCCTGTAGCCAGGTCAGGGCAGCAGTGGGGACCATGCTTTTTAGAGGTGTCAGACCGGGACTTAAACCCCAGCAATGGGGACACAGAGGGCTTCCAGGCAGACCAGGCCCCTCCTTGCAGAGCTCACAGCTGGGGGGCGGGGAGCCAGGGCCAGGAAGTTGCTGGTGACAGGCAGGACGGGCCTCAGGAGGACCTGAGAGAGCAGTGTGCAGGGCAGCAGGAAGGGCACAGCGAGTGCCCAGGCCCTGCGGTGGGAAGGAGCTTCCGTGTTCAGGGTGCGGTGGCCACGGCTTTGGCTTTGCCAGACTCATCTTGAGGGAGCTGCTCGGGCATCCTCAGGCCGAGGCCACTCCGCAGGAGGCGTCCCTGAGACCCAGCTGCCTGTGCACCTTCCCTTGCTTTGTTGGCTTTCCCTGTCCCCCCAGCCCTAAGTTCCATGTTTATTTCCTTTCCTGTTTGTCGTTCTCTGCTGGACTGGGAGCGCTGTGAGGCTGGGCCGCGGCAGAGTGTGCTGAGCGACTGAAGCCCACTCTGGGCTCTTTGAGCTTCAGGTTCCTTGTCTGTAAAGTGAACATGCCGATGCCCCCTTGCCACGTGAGGTTACCAAGAAGACAACTGGGACCGCCCTGTAGGCTCCTGGCAGGTGCTGGGAACAGGTCTGACCACCCCCCCCCATGCCCAGCTGCCGAGCGGGTGGGCCTGCATCGTGTGGCTCAGAGAGGGGCAGCGACCTGCCCGTGGCCACACAGCCAGGCAGCCCCTAGAACTGGATGGCCAGAGGAGCCCCTGGATGGGAGGAGAGCCCCGGGTGACCGGCTGTTGAGGAGAGAACCAGGGGACTGCGCCGCCCACCCCTTCCAGCTCCAGTGCCGCCGCGGCCGCACAGCTGCTCTCCGTCTGCCCTGCCGGCACCTGGCCACCAGCCAGTTCCCAACTGCTGCCCCCTCGGGACCCTGCTCCTGCTGCCTTCTCACAGCGCGGCTCCGCCGGGGAGAGCTGGGCCAGGGCAGCGCCAGCTTCGAGGGCTGCACTGGGGCTGGGCAAGCCAGCCTCCCTAGGCCTCAGTTTCCCCAGCCCTAAAGGGCCTGAGCTGTGGGATGGTAGGACTGACCCTCCACAGGGGGCGTGTCCTGCTCAGGGCTGCCCCCACAGATTCCTCAACCCGAAGCCCGGGCCCAGCCTGCGGGGTGGTGGTGGCTGAGGCCCTGCAGCTTGCCAAGTGCCTCAGGGGTGCCCCAACCCCTCCCCTGGCCCGGCCTCTGGGGCCACCCCATTGCCTTGACAGGTGGGGAAACTGAGGCCCAGCTTTGGGCAGCAGGAGAGGCTGAGTGAGAGTGGTGAATGGATGAATGAATGAATGAATGAAGTCTAGAGTAGGGGTGGGCGCCCAGCAGCACAGCTCCCCCTCCCCTTGTCCAGCCTGGCCAGCTGGCCCGCCCTCTCCCCCAGTCCGGTCTCCGTGTTCTCACGGGCACAGTGGCTCCCTGCTGGGCAGGACCTGCTCTGAGCTCTCCAGCCGCCTGGGTCTGGGGCAGTTTCTCAGTCCCTGTCACCCGACTGCCTGCCTGGTGGGGAGCGAGGACTGAGCGGCTCCGGAGCCTCCTGCCGGGAGCAGAGGGAAGCCAGGTGGCCAGCACAGTGGGGTACTCACCGGCCTTCGCCCCAGCAGCTGGAGACAGGGTGTCCGCTTGGCCTCAGCTCTGAGAGCTGCTCTGCCCAACGCCTTCCTGGGGCCTGACGTCAGGCGGCTCGGGCTCCTTTTGGGCAAAGGCAGCAGTGGGGGCGGGGCGGGCTCCTTCCCCGCCCCCAGGAGGAGCCAGGCTCAGGGCCCTGAGGAAGGGAGACTGGGCGGCCAGAGTCCCCACGCCCCCTCGGGACAGAGGGGTAAACTGAGGCTGGGAGGGGCAAGGCACAGACCCGCTGTCTAGGAGGAGGGGAGCAGGGAGGGTGGGCAGCTCTGGTCCCCTGGCTGCAGGGGCCCCTGGGAGTGCTCTGTGTGCCCTGTGCATTGCACAGCAAAGTCCGTTTCCTTCTGGGAGGGGACATATGCGTGGGGGGGTCAGTGCCTCATGGCTGCCCAGTAGTCTGGGTCCCCGTTGCTCTCTGGGTTCTGTTTTGTGTCTATTCTGGGCCTGGGTGTGCCCCTGTGTGCCTGTGCCTGAGAGCCTGCACACCTGATGTCTGGGCCTCCGTTTGTGCCCAGGTGTGGTGCGTGACACGTGGGTCTGGGTGTGGGAGGACCTGGACATGACACAGGCCAGCAGGTGGGGGAGCAAACAGGTTGTGAATCTTGGCGGTGGAGGAGGTGAGGGCCACTGGGGGACATCCCTCCTCGGATGGACAGCCCTGGTGGCTTCGTGGCCAGCCTGGGATGGCGCAGGGCTGAGGCCGGGAGGGGTCAGGGTTGGGTCGTGTGCTGCCTCCTCTGCCAGGAGCCCCCTTCTTGTCTACCTGACCCCTGCTCCCGCTCACCTGCTGAGCCAGCCGTGCTGGGCACAGGTACCCAGGGAAAACGCCCCCAGAGGAGGCCCTGGGGCTCCCCAAGTTCAGTCTGGTCTCCATGCAGACCAACAAGAAAGGGCAAGCGTGTTGCAGAGCCCTAACCGAGGAGTACAGTGTGGGAGGGCTTCCTGGAGTGGGCAAAGGGAGGTGTAACAAGAGGTGGGCAGCCTGGATGGGCAGAGAGGGGAGGCCATTGGATATTTCCTGGGAAGCAAGCGATGAAGCCGGGAGTGAGCAGGGGCCTTCCACACTGGGCCTCAGCAGCCTCTATGGGCACCAGCGTGATAGATTTGATCCTGTGGGCAATGGGGAGCCATTGAAGGTTCTGGGAGAGGGCGGTCCCATCATCCCACTAGTGTAGAACTGAGCCCAAATGCTACTATTATCTCCTTAGAACACTGCTGTATCTGTCCCAGATGAGGAAACTGAGGCCCAGAGAGGTGCAGGAGCCTCTGGCCCACACAGAGTCCCCCACCTCTCTGGGCCAGTGCTGGTCCCTGGCTGGCAAGGCAGTGGCATGCAGGAAGATAAGGGGTAGTGTGGACACAGTGTCATTTCTGTGTGGGGATGGCCTGGATGGAGGCTGGAGGGTTGAGTCGGCGGAGGCTCAAATTTCACGAGGTGGCAATGCCTGCTGAGTCACGGGCAAGGCTGGCCAGGCCACATGCCCACCTCCCAGGGCCTGGGGCTCCAGTCAGGACACTCAAGCTTGTTCTAGAGGAATCTCGGAGAGAATCCCCGAAACACAGCAGACACCAGCGGATGGCCCTGGGAGGGGTGACAGCCCGGGCTGGCTCCAGGACCCTCACCCCAGGGAGGTGCTCCTCTGAGGGACCAGGGATCCTCTGGGGCAGCCTTGGAAGGGGCCGGAGCCCATGAGACTGGGGGTTTTGAGCCACAGCCCTCAGAGGAGACAGGGGACAGGGTCAATTTCACCCTTGTCACCTCTGCCAGGCTTGTGGGTCTGGCCGGTCTGTCTGTGGCTGGGCCAGGGGTCAGGACCCCGTCAGGTGGGTCTGATGGGAGTGTGGAGTGTGCAGGGTAGGGCTGCCATGCTGTGCTCCATTGGACGTTGTCGGGCACTGGGCCTGGTGGAGAGTCCTCCCCAGCCCGGAGAAGCACGCTTGGGGGCCCGCAGGGGCTCAGGCTCTCAGAGCCTCTGAGGTCGTGGTTGCTGCAGGGCCAGCCTTGGAGTCAAGGCCAACGGTGGGCAACAGGAGCCATGAGTCCACCTGGCCCCACGGGGCAGATCCTCCATGGGGATTCACGGGACACCCCCGGATCCTGCCAAGGCGGTGGAGCTTCCCTTCATGCTTGTCCCCCAGGGAAGAGACCAGCAGGCCCACAGGGGGCGTGGGGAGCCTCCAGCCGAGGGTGACCCCGTGAAGACCTGGGGCGCCTTCCTGAGGGAGTCAGTGCCATACTACCCTCCTGCACCCCAGACTCCCTGGCAGTGGCCAGGTGGGCAGGGGCCTTCATCTGCCCCTGCGGAGAGGTGAGGGCCCCTTGGGCAGCCCTGGGTTGATCACTTGCTGCTCATCCCGTCCTATCTCCTGCTCTTACAGCCAGAGAAACTGAGGCCCAGGAGGGATGGACCTGTCTAAAGTCACACAGTGGGCCAGGCGTGGTGGCTCACGCCTGTAATCCTAGCACTCTGGGAGGCCGAGGAGGGCGGATTGCTTAAGGTCAGGAGTTCGAAACCAGCCTGAGCAAGAGCGAGACTCCATCTCTACTAAAAATAGAAAGAAATTAATTGGCCAACTGAAAATATATAGAAAAAATTAGCTGGGCATGGTGGCGCATGCCTGTAGTCCCAGCTACTCAGCAGGCTGAGGCAGTAGGATCACTTGAGCCCAGGAGTTTGAGGTTGCTATGAGTTAGGCTGACCCCATGGCACCCTTGCCCGAGCAATAGAGTGAGACTCTGTCTCCAAGAAAAAAAGGAAAAACAAGTCACAGTGAACGGGGCATGCAGACTCTGGGCTGGAACCAGTCTAGGCTTCCAGACACCCCATCAGCTGTGTGGCAAAGCCCCGATGCTGGGGCCAGCAAGCCACCAGAGTAACCTTCTATTAGACTTGGTGTCTTGGACTGTGGAAAGGGGGCTCCCACGGAGCAGCCCCTTCTGTGGGGTCCAGTGAGGCTTGGCCCTGGCCCATGGCAGGCACAAGTAGGACCCAGCATAGGCTGTCAGTGCTGCTGAGGGGAGGCCGCAGTGGCCTTGAGCCCCAGGAGCCAAGGGAGGGGCTCCTGGGGGTCTGGGGGTGCAGGGATGCTGGGCTCATGGGTGAGAAGCACAGGAAAGCCCCAGGTCTCCCAAGACCCAAGCTAGGGGGCCTTGCTGGAGGAGGAGGTCTTACTGACCCTCCCAGCATTCCCATCAGCTGCCCAGCCTTGCTGTGTGCCCAGGAGCCTGGGGTGAAGTCTGAGCGTGCGGGCGTGGGAGGGTCTGGCCACTCCCCTGAGTCTCAGCCCCTGGAACAGGCCAGCAGGGCTCAGGAGAGGAACCCCTGAGCCAGTGGACCTTGGAGCCCACAGAGTTGGCCCCACTTTTTATAGATGAGGAGACCAAGGCCCGGAACGGGCTCAGCCATCAGGACTCAGCTGCAGCTCAGCCCCTCTCCGAGCCTCCCTGCGGTGGGGCAGGGGCTCCCCCTCACGGCCCTCCTTCCTTGCCTGGGGCAGGCTCCACGGCCTCCCTCCAAAGCCTCTTCTGCACGCTTGGCCAGCCTGGGGGTGGGGTGGGGGTCCGGTGGGCTAGCATTGGTGCCTCAGCAAGCACAGGTTCAATGGCTTGGTGGCCTGGGGTGGTGGCAATATGGGGCCCCACTTGGCCCTCCATATTCTGGGCACAGTGCCTGGCGTCCACGTGGCAGCCCCTGGGTTGTTTGGGTGCAGGCAGTTTGGGCCCCTCAGGTGACAGGGAGCTCCCTGCCTTGTAGGGAAGGTGGACGGGTTGGGCAGAGGACAGCAGTCCTCACAAAGTGGCACCAAGTATCTGACGCCACTAAATCAATCCCCTGCTGGGTTGTGACCTTTGGCTTGAAAACCCTGGTCCAGGGTTTGTCATTCGACCAGCAATGCTGCCCGATGGCAGGTGGCAGCAGCTGCGGGCACTGCGCACTCCCTGCACACGGGCACAGGCGGGCACTTCGGGCGTGTTCACTCCCCAAACAGCCGTATGGGGAGGCCCCTTGTTGCCATCCTCAGAAGAGGAAAGGGAGGCTCAGAGAGGTGAAGTAACTCGTCCAAGGTCACACTGCTAGGAAGGGCTTTGAAGCCAGGTGACTGGGTCCAGGCCTGGAACCTGGGCTCTTGCGTCTTTCACTCTTCTGCAAAGCCCTGAAATTGCCCTACTGAGACCAGCCAGCTCTCTTTCTGGAAGCTTCTGGAACCTATTCCCCAGGCACAGTGGCGAGGGCCCCCACCCCAGGACCCAGCACCCAGGGTTTGAGATCTCTCCTGGGTCCAGGCACGATGAGCTGGCCAGGCTGGGCCGTGGCTCCCTCTGCAGTCAGACCAACCCACCCGGGTCAAGAGCCGGCCACGTCTCCCTCAGGGCCTCCGACCTGCTTCTATTTCAGCCCTTCCCGGCCTCAGCTGGCCCCGTGGGACCGGATGGCCGTGTCTGTATGTGTCTGTCTGCTCTGGGCCTCAGAGGAGCTCCAGACACCCGGCTCTCCCGACCTCGGCTGCCTCACCGACCCCGGAACAGCGGGGGCGGCGAAGCGTAGTGTCCACGCAGGGGCGCTGTAGTCGCTGCTGTCCTCTGCCCAACCCGTCCACCTTCCCTACAAGGCAGGGAGCTCCCTGTCACCTGAGGGGCCCAAACTGCCCGCACCCAAACAACCCAGGGGCTGCCACGTGGACGCCAGGCACTGGGCGAGCTGAGGACTGACGGCCTCTGAGGAGAGTGACATGAGACGCCAGGTTCCAAACTCTCTGAGGGTCTGTGATTCCAAACTTCCAAGATGCTGCCACAGCTAGGAGCCCAAAGTTTCCAGGACAAGCCCTCCCTGGCACCAGCTTGAGGCAGAAAGTCTGACCCCGAGGTCCCTCCCCACCGTCTCCCTCCCACCTGCACGTTCTCTCTGCTTGGAACGCCCTTCCCATTTCTCCCTACAGATCCAAACTCACCTCCTGCCACCTCTTCCACGAAGCCTGCCCTGACTAGCTTCCTTCAGCCCCCAATTCTGAGGGCAGTGCGGGCCTGG